CTCTCTCTCTCTCTCTCTCTCTCTCTCTCTCTCTCTCTCTCTCTCATCAAGAAATATAGGACTTTAGACCAGTGGTTCCCAAACTTTTTGTCTTCTGACCCACAAAATATCCATGGCAAAAACTTGTGACCCCAAATATTACTGGTCTGAGTACATGAACTTCGTTAATAACCCTAACCGCATAGTAACAATATTTTTATACACATTTGTCCATTTTAAATATACTAACCTCACACCTTTGTAACAACTAAAGCAAAATGTAATTAATTCAGAAAATCTTTTCAGGACCCCACCTTGATGTTTCGGGACCCCACTTTGGGTCCCGAACCCAACTTTGGGAAACACTACTTTAGACCACTGCTTTTATGCGCATGCGCATTAATATTTTTGGAATGTGTTAAAACCACATCGAACGCGTTCAGCCAATCACTACCAAATACTGAAACCACGTTTTACACACCCCAAACTTGATACAAGTGACCAATGAAAGGAACTGTCTGAGAACTTAGGCTTTTGGCGCGACTTGGGTCTGAGTCAGTCAACAAAGATGGAACCCAGAAACGATTTTTTGACAGTTTATATGCGCTGGTTGTGGAGCTTGTCAAACAAAAGAATAAATAAACGTTTTACGCTAGCTGACGTAAGTTAGCAGCTAGTCTAAAACTAGCTAATCAGGCTCGGGTTAGCTGACAGACTGAAGCACATTAATTGTTGATTTTTTTTAAAACAAAATAGCCAATAAAAGGAACAGGAGCAACAGAAAGCGATTAGCAACCTTTTACCGATTATTCTGTGGGAACTAAATGGTTCCTGATGAACATGCATCACCTAAGGCCTGACTTTACACTGCTGCCCCGCTCATATACTCACCTCGCTTAATCACGTGCATCATGCCGAAAGGTGTGATGTTTCTCGTAGGTAAAGGTGACAGCAGGTGCAAGTTTATCTTCAAAGTATACTACAATCCTCTCCCGCTCAGTTAGAAACTCCCGCTAACGTCGTATTTATACAGAAGCAGCAACCCAGGAAAAAAAACAACATGCGTGTGTTTGAGCCAATCGGCAGTAAGAAGGGGAGGGCTTTAATCTTTGGGAACCAATCACATCACAGCAGAGCAAAGCACACATCCTTTTTCCTGGCGGGACAAAAAGTAGGTTACCAAACCAGTTCTTTATTGTTTTGTTGAGTTCTGTACAAAACTCTTTGTATTTTAAAGTTCTTAAATGTAATTTCAAGAGTAAAAAACTCACATACGTTTACTACGGAAGAGCATTGCATTCACCAAATTAAAAAAAAACTTTAAAAATGGTCTAATTCAGGCATTTTTTTTATTAAGTTCTCAAAAAAAATAAAAAAATAGGGGTAGCATTAGGTTTGGTGTAGTTCTCTCCCTGATCGATAGGTGGCGATAACGCGCCAACCACGTGTCTTCCAGCTTTTTTAAACGGCATTGAAGAAGTAGTGCTATTAGAGTGTAAAGTAAATGTTTAAAAAGAAAAGAGTTATGAATTACATGGCTCAGACAGCGTGGCAAGTTTTCTTACGTGACGAATCTTGACGCTGTTTTTATTTTCATCGAATATCCTTGAACGAGTCGCTGCTAGGAAGCAGCGTCTCTACAGGACAAGCTGTCGACAGAAGAATGGACCCGTTTATCATCATCTATATCAGGTTAAACGCTTAGAAAAAAGGCCCTAAAAGTCGACCATGTCTTCAGAGACGTGTTCGCGGGTGGACACCAACCGGCAGGTTTCAGCGGCTAAAAATGGTTATGGATCGATATCGTTGAAGCAGATGTCACCGTGCTGGTTCCCCTCAGCTCTGCTGCTTCCTGTGTGAGCTTCCCTCCCCGCGGCAAGTCTTCGGTTTTGGACACGTAGCTGTTTGGATCAGGACTCGGTTCTTCAGCGGCCATGTCGAGGTCCGGTCGGCGGTACAAGCCCCTGCAGCAGAGCGGCAACGGCGGCGGCTTCTTCCCCGCTCGGTGTGACCGCGTGCGGATGCCCAGAGCCCGGGTGCTGCTGCTGTGCTTCCTCGGTGTCCTGGTGCTGGCGGCGGCGGTCCTCCGTGCTTACCTGCCCAACGACACGGCGGGCGCTCAGGTGAGCCGCGTGCCGGCTGCAGACCTGAGCAAAGACAGGGTAAGAGCTGGGACTGAGTGAACCCTTCAGTTCCACTTTAACACTGAATTTATTAGTGGGAAACACCCAAATATACACTTACTAATTAAGATAATTTGTGTTTCCTTCCCCACTGGTCATTCATTATTGTTGTTTTTATTATAGACATACAGAAAGATCTGTAACAGGCCTGATACATTCTCAAAATGAAAATTGTTTAAATGAAATATGTCATATGAGCATGTTTTTCCTGTTCTGCAATAACACTAGTTTCCCTTAAGCAAAAGCGAGATTATTGTCTTACCTTGTCTCTTGTCAGCAAAATATCTCAAGAACCACTTCACTGATTTTAAGGAAAATTTCAGGAAGTAACCACTGGATTTACATCTTCAGCTAATTAACTTTTCGAGTTAATCCACTTCAGATGCTAGCCCACATAAAAATGGTTGTACCTGTAACAGTTTTAAAGATATGGAGCTAAAATTTGATGTGGTAGTAGCTGAGAGTCATTCACAACACATACCCTGAGCATAGACCAAAAAGGTTATGATGCCATCCATTCTCGTCATAAGACGGTTTTAGGCGATAAGCATTTTACCCCCAAAAAATCAATTGAAAATACCATTTAGGTGCAAGGTTACTTTTCATTTTTTATATGTCCGACAAAAACGCTGATAATTTCGCTAAATCTCAGGTGTTGCTTTTCTTCCGCAGCTTTTATTTGTTCACTTTCTGTACACACCATTCTCAAGAAATACAAAAACAAGTTAGTCATCTCTCAATAAAAAAATAAAAACGAATAAGCATCCTCGGGGGATGACATGTTTGAACTTGGTAAACTTTGTTTTTTGTTGTTCTATCGTTTGTCTCAAATAGAAAAACCTTAAAGTAAACAGTTGTGACATGAAGAGGAAAAAGTGACAGGATTAGGAAACAATTATTCAAACAGGAAGTTGATTGTTTCTTAGTGTTTCCTGTGGAATTACAACCAGAGCTTAGTTCTGTTTTTAATTTCTCCACAATGTCATCAGCGGCCTTCTTGTTTCCTCTAGTCGTCCCACAAACCCAGCAAAGTCTCCGCGGCTCAGATCAGCCGTCTGGCCTCCCAGGTGGACGCGGCTCGCCTGTGGGAGACTCACCTGCGGCCGATCCTGATAGAGAGGCTCCCGGGGACGAAAGGCAGCCTGGCTGTGCAGCAGGTGTGTGTGAATATTTAAAGACTCCACTCTGATTTCATTGAACCTAATCTCGTCGTCTTCTATCTGCTCTGCTTGGCAGCACATCACCTCCACCCTGTCGTCGCTGTCTGCCGGCTGGGCCGTAGACCTGGACTCCTTTCGGTCGCCGACTCCTCGAGGTCAGGTCACCTTCACCAACGTCGTAGCGACTCTGGACCCCACGGCTCGGCGGAGGCTCCTCCTCGCCTGTCACTATGACTCGAAGGCCCTGCCTCCAGACCCGCGGGCCCCAGAGAGGGTGTTTCTGGGGGCCAGCGACTCGGCGGTGCCCTGTGCTATGATCCTGGAGCTGGTCACCTCGCTGGATGCACAGCTCAGGTCCTTCAAACTGCAGGTTGGTGTTTTCGTGCTTTAATCTGAGCTACGAGCTGAAGCTGTTTATATGGTGCTTTTTCTGTTTTTATCTCTGCTGAGTTGTAAAGATGGACGGTGTGCTGTTTTCCTCCTCACACTCCTGCTCATCGCTCTGCCTCTGAGGCTGCAGTAGAAACTGCTGACTCCTGCTCTGACTGCAGCAGTCATCTGTGTATAACACTATTTCTCCAGGGACTGTTATCACACACTGCGACAACACTGCAGAACACGACACTGACCTCAGCTGCTGTTTTTTTTTTTCCATTGAAGTTATTTTTATCTTACTTGTTTTGAGACACGTTTTGTTTCTTGCCCTCCCAGAGACTCCCAGTGACCCTTCAGCTGGTGTTTTTCGACGGCGAAGAGTCATTCGAGGAATGGACCGCCACAGACTCGCTGTACGGCTCTCGCCACCTGGCCGAGCTGATGGCGAGCACGCCTCACCCCACAGCGTCCTCACACACCACCCTGCTTCAGGCTGTGGTGAGGACACAGAGACAACTTTACGGTTTTTTACAACATTTAATCTCTTTGTGTCGACCCAAAGAGTTGAGACTTACATTAACTGGATGACGCTTTATGTTCGTGGCACTGAGATTTAAAGTGCCTGTGACACTTTAAATACAAAAACTCAAAGAAAACATCTTTATTTTTAAGAAACTTGGAAAACTACACAAGATTTTACCCATTTTTTTCACATAACTGGCATATTTTCTTTTGAACTCGGCTCAGCCAAAGTGAAACAGGAAGTGACATCCAAGGGGAACTCTTTAAGAAAAGAAACATTCTTGGTCTTTGTTTATTGAAACAATATTATTTGAACTCTGACTCTATCCCTCTCTTGTAAAAATTTAAAATAATCTAAAGAAACATGAGATTCTTCTCTACGGTCTGTGTTGTCAGCTGGTGTCGCTCTGCTTTGTTTACATGCCGTCATTCCCCATGACATCACTTCCTGTTACTTCACATGCAAATATCTCAACAACTGTTCATCTCAGTGACATGAGTTTTAATTTTATTTTTTGTAATTAATGATTAATGTTATCTTTCCAAAAACGTGTTCACATTTATTACAAAAAATGATATCTATGGCACTTTGACTCTAAATACCAAAAGAAGTCGATGTTTTACTTWAAAATCAAAACTCCAAACTCTGTCTGCTTTTGTAACTTGACTAAGTTTTCTTTTCAGGACCTCTTTGTGCTGCTGGACCTGCTCGGGGGTCCCAACCCGCTGATTGCAAATCACTTCGATAACACGGCGCGATGGTTCGACCGCCTAATCGCTGCAGGTATTCGCCATCTGTCCCTGTTATCCTAAATGTTTAAATCCTGCGCTGTCGTGTGCCCAAACTCTTCCCTCTCCTGTCACAGAGAAGAGGCTCCACCGGCAGGGTCTGCTGAAGTCCCACCCGTCAGAGCAGACGTACTTCAGGAAGGACGTTTACCTCGGACCTGTACAGGACGACCACATCCCCTTCCTTCACAAAGGTGAGCCGCAGCAGAAGTGATCGGAGACTCTTTCAGAAAAAAAAAACAGCTTCTAGGAGACAATAAGTACTTGAATTTGTTTATTTAACAAATATAACTGTTAGAGGCATAAAAAATGATTATACAGATTTATATGTTTTAGCTTTAATTTTTATTGTTAAAGTAAACAAGAGCTTAAGTAATATTATTGTGTAATTCAGCTTTTATTTTGAAAGTATTACTTCCCGTAGAGCCGTGATGCAAGTAAAAAAAATAGTTTTTTGACTGTGCTAGCCGTGTATTACTGGATATGATGATAAATATGTAGGAAAAGAGTCTTTCTTTTCCTAATTTTTCTTTCGTTCTTCTTTTTTTGTTTTGCATTTTGCTTGTTGACCATTTTGACATTTTTTCAGATAAAGGATATTTGTTAAATTCATGGTTTTGCACACGTCCTTTACTTTTCCAAGAGTGACACAAATAATGGATCTGCTGCCAGAACAGAAACTATTTTTTGTGTCTTCATTTATCACGTCTGTTATGTTTTGAAAAGATTGTAGAGCTTTAGTTCCAGCATCTTAAGAAATGAAATTGTAGAACTCAGTCTTCTACCACTAATCTATAGTCGTGCCGCAGAGTCAACAGGTCCAAGAGAGGAATCCAGACGTTTTTCTTTCTTTCTTTCAATAAAAAAAAAAAACATTCACATACTGTCATGGAAATCCTTATTTTTCCTAGACAGAAACACGAGATCCAAGAATAAAAAGTCAGTGAAAATGGTCAGTTGGATTTATTGCAATTTGCAAGACACACATCATGTCACACAGGGCATTGGTACAAAATGTGTGCCCCGAGGCTGTTTCAAATACACGCATTTATACAGAATATTATCAAGACAGACAATAAACATCTCCCTTGGTGCTAAAACTGGGCCAAGGAGAGAATGATGTTTGATAAACCAGCAGCAAGGATGATTACTTCTAACGGATATTGTCCTGATCTTAAAACACTTTGTCAGAGAGAAAACAGAAGATAAAAAGTAAAATCATAAAACATGATGACATTTAAAGGTAAGCAAAAAAGGTCACTTGACTCTTGGCCTGAGAAGAAATGTAGGACCTTCAAGGATAATTTATTTTTACAAGACACCACAAAACGATACAGCGACACTCTCCAGCTCCGTCCTATTATCACTCATGAATCTTGAACTCCTCCACAGAACAGCCACATTTAAAACTYTTGTATCAAAGGCAAACCACTGGCAACATATTCTACATTTATTTTTTTTAATGCAGCTAAGATTGTCAGTAAACTTTATGGAGAGACCTGAAGAAGACTTAATGATTTTATCTATACACTCATGATCTCAGTCATATGTTCTTCTCTGTAGGCGTCCCCGTGCTTCACATCATCGCCACGCCCTTCCCTCAGTTCTGGCACACGCTGGACGACACAGAGGAGAACATGCACCGTCCGACCGTAGAAAACCTCACTAAGATCATGGCTGTGTTTCTGGCTGAATACCTGGGTTTGTGAACAAAGGAACGATCCACAGACTGGTGGAACACACTAAGCAGGACAAACCAGATGTAAAGACTTGTTCCCTGTTGGGCTTTCCTCAGTCTGGAGTGAAGAATGAACCAGTGAAGTTGGACACTGGGTCTTATTTTAAAGTTCCTGACAGGAGCACCTGGAAATGTGAACAAACTTATTTTATTTTTTATTTGCTGTTGGTTCCGTGAAGATAAACCTTAGCCTTAATAATTGTTCACGCTGTTAACATGTTGAAGATGCACTTTACTTTCTTACAGGAAGACTTGTGATCAGCTGCAGTGCCAGGGACATCGTCACGATGTTTAACAAACGCTTTTACACAGTGTTTAAAGTCTACTGTGAATGATTTTATTTCTTTCTCTTTAGAGGTGGAGGTAAAGAAAAGGATGCATTACATATGGACATAATCACCAGCATAATCCCTTAAACAGATTAAGTGGTTTGTTTTAAAAGTCATTGTGTCACATGTGAATACAACATGTAGATCATCTGCAGGGCTTTATAAATTTAAACTGGCAACATGTTTACTGTTTTTTTTGTGTGTGTGTGTCTTGTTTTGGTGTCATGTCTTGGTACTCTGTTTTAATAAAAATAGCAGTGTGTCATCAATGAAGTGACAACCTAATGGCCTCCACACATGTGGTGTAAAGGAAAAGGTGGGTGGCAGAGGGGTGGAGGTGTCTGGTGGTGGTGGGGATGCGGGCTGCCAGGTGGAGAGCCTTCGTTGTCAGAGGAGAGGTAGGCTTCTCCTGAAGGTCCTCTGAGTGATGTGTGGAAAAATTGATGCAAGAAAAGAAAGAAAAACTTGTCATGGTTCACTTTAAACACAAGAGGGCGCTGTTACGCTTTGTAGCTGCATAATTCTGTGAAAGCCTTTGTTTCTGAATGTTCACCAGTGGTCTTATGTGTTACTTTTAACGCCTGGCTGGTAATGGTCTCTAGCATAAATAATCAACAAAAGCACATCTAAGTGAGAGACCAAGTCAATATTTATCATTTATTAACACCAGATTTATTACATTTTATTCTGACATGGTAAATCTGTAAGTTTGACATCCTGGAAATTCTGAACTGTGCACACAATGAGKAGGGGTGTGGTCAAAAACTGGTCCCTGTGAAGTTGTACCTACCAACTTTAATTTTGTTAACAGACTTTTTTTTCTGAATAAGTGGATCCTAAGGTGCATGAAAAAGCTAAGTAAATTGAATATTTAGGATACGTGTGGTAAACTCAGATAAAAGAAAACCCAATGGCACCCATGGACCAATTGATCATGGTGCTAGCGCAAGGGATCTATTTATTTTGTTTTTGATATAAAGCTAGCTCTGCATGCTCTCCTATTAACTTATTATTTCACTTAAGTAAAATTTTCCATGAATTGTGTTCAAATGTTTGTCTAATTTAAATGTTATGCTTCCAAATAATCACTAGCTACTTGTGTCCCTCCGCCTTCGGTCTCATCACTTTTATGAAGAAACCAACATTAATAAGTTGTACTTACAAAATACTGTCTCTAAATTGCTGAGATATATCAGTTTCAGAGCCAACGACTTGTTTTGTATCTGACCTGGTTACGTCCATAGCTCGGTCTCTCTGTCGGCGGTTCTTGAACCAGTTGCTGACCTGGGTGGAGGTGAGGCCAGTTGCGGCTGCGAGTTCCCGCTTCTCCCGGGTAGACGGATAAGGCTTCCGGTGGTACCACTCTCTCAATAAACTCCGAGATTTCTCCTGTTTATAGAGTTAAAAAAATTCAAAATAAGTTACATTTATATAGATATTATATTACAGTAAATAACCATTGTGTAAGGAGAATTTTTACGTGTGTGCTCGAAAAACCGAGGTACTTGAAGGCAACATGGATGGTGCACATCAATGTAGGCTACTTTTCCTGTTATTGTACCTGAATATTTACCTATTTTGCAGTCCTTTTAGTTTATATTTTCTGCCACAATTTCTGCACTACCTGATATACCTTACCTTGCAGGAAAAGTAATGTGCACATATAAATCTATAACACCAATTTAGACAAAGGTGGGCTGCAGAATGCAATGATTTGCACATCTCATGAGTCAATATTTAATTCACAGTAGGACGTATTAAACATATGTTTCAACTCAGAAATTGCATCATTGCAAGGAAAGAAAGGTAATTGTGAATTTTATGGCAGTAACATTGGTTGGGATGATGAAGGTCTAGAAGTGAATTTTATTAACAAAAGTATGAACATTTAGGTTCAGCTCATTAGGTTAATTGTTTACAGATTAGAGACAGGGTATAAAAAAAACATTCTAAAGGCTGAATCGCTTAAAAGTTGAGATGTTTGGAAAAAAAACTTGTGCAAAACCTGAACCTTTAAATACATTAATATCAGATTTTACTTTAAGCTTAACTTGATGAGTTTGTACCTTAAAGCAGTAACTGGTCTCCTCTCCATCCCAGATGGTGTGCGGTAAAGGAAACTTTCTCCTCACACGATACTTCCCCACGGCTCCCAGGGGCCGACCCCGCTGCCCCTCAGCCTCCATGTAGTGGGCTCTCAGCCAGAGCTGCTGCAGGAACGGGTGGCTACGTGGGGAGAAGGGGAAGCCCTCCAGTAGGGCGTAGAGGTCTGAGAAGCGCCCCTGGTGAAAGGCCACTGCAGCTTTAGCCTTCAACACACTCTCCAGCTCCCAAAGGCACGAAGAGGAGGAGGAAGGAGGGAGAGTGGAGAGGAAGCTGCAGAGTCGATCCATGTAACCACCTTGCAGAAGGACCTCGCACAYGCACACGACCTGCTCTGCTGTGAAGATCATCGCTGTGGGAGAAGAGATGAATGTGTAAAAACTTGATTTCACTTACGTTGGTTCATCTGAGAGCTGAAGCCTCTGTGCAGGATTCTGGATGAACAAAAACTAAGTGAACCTGCATGTGTTCTAGCACGACTTATCATCATACCCTGCCACAGGTAACCTGAGCCCATCAGGGTTATAACAACACACAAGAGATATCCCCCGTTCTCTTGTACAAACACATGCCGCTGCACCTTCCTACATATTTCTGAGCTTTGCTATTGTACAAACAGAAAACACAACTGAAGGTTTCATTGCCGGGAGAAAATAATGCATTTGAATTTGAATAAAATTTCAATGCCAAATWAGAGGCAAACTACCCGGATGATAAATGACTCGTCTAGAACAGTCCAGGTCTCTTACAACACATTGCAGGAGGAGGCTGAAAAACAACGCTGAGCCTAAATGTAAATGTAGTTTATTACAATATTGTGGAATATAAAAAATAGAATGCATTTGAATACAAAAACAAGAACCTTTAACGACAGACACAAACGATCCCTTTTTAAAAACAATTAAAACGATACAATATCTTTGGTACGTCTGGAGTCATATATGTGACAAACAGGACAATAAAAACACAAACGACATGCTACGAATAAATGTCAGGGTACAAATCAAAGCCTTAACAAGCTGTAATGTGAGCAATCTTTGGTACAAAATATGAAAAGGCTCTTTTTGCTTTCACCCTAACTCATGACTGAAAAAAGTTGGAACAAAAACAAAAAGCACATTGTATTTCAAAGTAGAGTTAGTGACCTCAAAATGGATTAAATAAGTTGCATCACTTTGTGACCTTAGGAAAAATTAATGTAAATTCCTATATGTGCGTTTTTAAACTAGAAACTGATTGGTACGTGCATTAAATAGATTAAAGGTACAAAAACAGACTAAAATACCATGAAATAAAATAAAAAAACAGGCTRCTACTGTAACTAGATGCAACACTGAAGTGTATTTTTGTGTACCACAAGTGGCCCAAACTACAGTGGTTTGCAAAAGTATTCATACCCCTTGAACTTTTMCATATTTTGTCACATTACAACCACAAACATAAATATATTTCACTGGAATTTAATGTGAAAGACCAACACAAAGTGGTATACAATTGTGAAGTGGAAGCAAAATTTTACATGAATCAAAACATTTTTTACAAATAAAAAACTGAAAAGTGCGACGTGCAAAAGTATTCAGCCCCCTTTTCCCTGAGTGCAACCAATTGCATTCAGAAGTTGCCTGATGACTGCTAATGACTCAAAAGGGTCCACCTGTGTGTAATCTAATCTCAGTACAAATACAGCTGCTCCGTGACGGCCTCAGATGTTGGTTAAGAGAATATTGGGGAGCAAACAGCATCATRAAGTCCAAAGAACACAGCAGACAGGTTAGGAATATGGTTTTGGAGAAGTTTAAAGCAGGCTTAGGTTATAAAAAGATTTCCCAAGCTTTGAACATCTCACGGAGCACTGTTCAATCCATCATCCGGAAATGGAAAGAGTATGGCACCACAGTAAACCTGCCAAGACAAGGCCGTCCACCTAAACTTACAGGCCGAACAAGGAGATCACTGATCAGAGAGGCAGCCAAGAGGCCCATGGTGACTCTGGATGAAATGCAGAGAGCCACAGCTCAGGTGGGGGAAACTGTCCACAGGACAACAATTAGTCGTGCACWACACAAATGTGGTCTTTATGGAAGAGTGGCAAGGAGAAAGCCATTGTTAAAAGAAAACCATAAGAAGTCCCGTTTGCAGTTTGCCAGAAGCCATGTTGAGGACACAGCAAACATGTGGAAGAAGGTGCTTTGGTCAGACGAGACCAAAATTGAACTTTTTGGCCACAATGCAAAACGCTATGTGTGGCGGAGAAAGAACACTGCACATCACTCTGAAAACACCATCCCCACTGTCAAATATGGTGGTGGCAGCATCATGCTCTGGGGGTGCTTCTCTTCAGCAGGGACCGGGAAGTTGGTCAAAGTTGATGGGAAGATGGATGGAGCCAAATACAGGGCAATCTTGGAAGAAAACCTGTTGGAGTCAGCAAAAGATTTGAGACTGGGGCGGAGGTTCACCTTCCAGCAGGACAACGACCCTAAACATAAAGCCAAAGCTACAATGGAGTGGTTTAAAAAAAAGAATATTCATGTGTTAGAATGGCCCAGTCAAAGTCCAGACCTAAACCCAATTGAGAATTTGTGGCAAGATCTCAAATCTGCTGTTCACAAACGCTCTCCATCCAATCTGACTGAGCTTGAGCTGTTTTGCAAGGAGGAATGGGCAAGAATTGCAGTCACTAGATGTGCAAAGCTGGTGGAGACATACCCTAAAAGACTTGCAGCTGTAATTGCAGCAAAAGGTGGCTCCACAAAGTATTGACTCAGGGGGGCTGAATAATTTTGCACATCGCACTTTTCAGTTTTTTATTTGTAAAAAATGTTTTGATTYATGTAAAATTTTGCTTCCACTTCACAATTGTATACCACTTTGTGTTGGTCTTTCACATTAAATTCCAGTGAAATATATTTATGTTTGTGGTWGTAATGTGACAAAATATGGAAAAGTTCAAGGGGTATGAATACTTTTGCAAACCACTGTAACTGCTGCCTGTGCCATGACAGTATATTATTTAGCGTTTAAATTCTGAAATGTGCGTCTCAGTTTCTGTCTTACGTTGTTGGCATTTCATGGAAACAAAACAAAAAAAAAACACGGAGCTTCAGAACAGACTAAGAGTCAAATCGCTGTCATATTAACATGGCAACGCAACGTAAACATATCATGAATAAAATGTGCAAATTATACACAAACACGAGCTCAAACGATTATGCAATCGAAATCATCACATTGTGTTTCACTGACAGAAATGTAAAAAAGTGAAGTGAGTTTAGAAAATTGGTTTTCTTGGAGAAATTAAATTTTTTATTTATTTACCCTTTTTTTTCAAATTTGGATGTACAAATAAGACACTTGTCAGTATGAATATACTGAGAATTTGGCTGCGTTTGATAATAAAAATGTAAATTCATAGTAAAAGTTTTAGTGTAATGCACTGCCTACGCTTCACTTCTTGTCCCCAAGAGTCCGGCTCTTTGACTCAGCATTATGTCCATAAAATAAAGATTAAAAAATGAGCTAAACCTGCATTGCATAGCATTGAAACCCTTTTATATCCTGTACAGTTTTTATAATAATGTTAAGAGGCTTTCTTGGTTGAAAACTGCAGGAAAGTTTTCACAAAGTTACGATGAAATGCAGTAAATCTGCTCGTTTCAAACCGGACTTCAGGAACTTTAATGTATTTCCAAAATAATGTTCCTCTTAAAGCAAAAAAAGGTAAAAGTTTAAGATACAACACAGGCTACTCTACTGCTCTTTTTATAAAGAAAATAATCTGTACTGTAGTCCTGGAGTGTTAAAGGGTAGCACATTCTGATCAGAAAAAGAGAACTAAAGTCTACAAAATTAACTGGTTTTCACACTGGTACCGTTTGCTCGATTGTCTTGTCTTCCAGCAAACAAACAAAAAAATACTCCAGATTTAGYCTACAGTCTTTAAAACTTCAAAGATGAGCTAAAACTCAGACCAATCCAGGCTAGACGCAAGTCACGTGAGGTAGGAATGCGCGATATRAACGATATACGGTAGAAACGATATAAATTTGTCCTATGATAGAGATCTGTAGTCTACCGGCCAACCGCGCAATACTTTTTGATGACGTAACCGGCTGGAGTCAAAACAGWGGAAGCGGGAAGCAGCCTGGCTGAGAGCGCAAATGATGAGGGGAAATAAACTTATACGGACCTGGTTCGGGTGTGCGAAAATGAACGCCGAACTGTTTACGTGACGGCGTGTCCTCCGGTCGGATGCCGACCAACCACACTGCCTGCAGCGGGAGGAGCGCGCGCCGCGGCATGTGTGAAGGGCTCGACACACGGGGGGCGACGTCGCTCGCTCTCCATTCATTTCCACGCAGCGAGGCGACTGTCAGTGCTCAGGTGGGACACACAATAATCAGTCTGGACCTCGTTTCTCCTGCGGTCGTGGCGCGACGACGCACAGCCGAATGAGAGCGCACTCCAAAGCGCGACTATGATTGTCACCCCGCCGGAGCGCGCACAGATTAAACACGTGGAGTGCAGAAAAAAAAAATCTGCAAAGTGTGTAGAAAGGAATAAACACAAGCAATTTGTTTTACCACCTTAAAACGAAGCTGCTGCTTCCAAACATAACATCCAATGGATGCAGATATCTATTAAATTAAAGTTATTGTGTGTGTGTGTGTGTGTGTGTGTGTGTGTGTGTGTGTGTGTGTGTGTGCAGAAAAAGTAATCTGCAAAGTGTGTAGAAAGGAATAAATACAAACAATTTGTTTTACCACCTTAAAACGAAGCAGGTGATTCCAAACATAACATCCAATGGATGCAGATATCTATTAAATTAAAGTTATTGTGTGTGTGTGTGTGTGTGTGTGTGTGTGTG